GGTCATGCAGTCAAAGGAAGTACATAGTTTACAAAGTCCAGGGTTTGAATGAGATCTTTCCTCAGCTTCTACTTCAATTGCCAATCAGCTTGGGAAGTCTGACAGTGTGTGAAAAACACATGAGTGCGCATGAAATCATGCTTAATTTCTGCAATTTAGGTCACAGTATTACAGTCATGCTGATCCGTTGGGCAAAACCTCAGAGAGAAATGCTGCATGTGCACACGTTGCATTAGTTTAAAACATCTAGTGCTAACATGATGTGTGTTGTCTGTCAGATGGTGCCAACAAGGACACTTCAAGATAGAGCAAGTCTAAACAACGTCATGTATTTACTGTACTGGCAGACATGTTTTGGTTCTGTGATACTGGAAGCCGAAGGGCACCGTTGCAAAACGTTAACACCTCCCTCCCCACTTTACTATAAAACAATCATTCCTTTCATACGTCTACTTCTTTCCTTTATCTTTTTATAAAAGTTATTTAACCTCCCTCTACTTTTATTGCCTTTTTAAAGCAGAGAAATTGAATCTCAACATCTGTTATCACCATGTTTTAGAAAGTGAGAAAGCTTGCCATTTTCATTATGGCAACATGAAATGAATCTGCATGTGGAAAGACTAGCATTTTGTTTGATAAATATCTACAAAGCTAGCTTTAAATTCCTAAGAAAGCTTTAGTATAAAACACTTTAGGATTGTAGAGAGTGTATTGTGCATCATTCTAGAATATAAAAAGGAAAATATATAGTTTTTTGTTGTGTTATGATGTCAGTTAACGAGACAATAAACACACAATGCACTTCACTTTGTGAGTTTAATCACAGAGTCCTTTTATAAATTTGTTTGCAGACTTGATCCCCACAAGTGAGCTCCTGAAAAAAAAAAAAAATGAATTAATTAAAACTGATCTTCATCAATTACAAAAGGGTAATACAAACAAAAAACAAAAAACAGCAGGAGTTCAATGAATGGCATCAGTGCTTGGAGGGAGCAGCATTTTCATGTGTATGGTTACAGTTGTACACATGTACAATCACAGGATTGTGAATGCTAGAAGTTAAAATATTAACAGGGACACCAGCATAAAGTTCAGAGTCATACCAGATGAAGCTCATCTCCCTCAAGCCAGTGAGTCCACCCTCGGTTTCCCTTTTCTCCTTTTTGAACACACACCAGCTTTTCATTTTCCCAGTTGACCACAGACTGTTAGAGTAACATAAAAAAAAAAGGATCATGATAAACTACAGTTTCCCCAATACGTAAACATAAATGGAGTTTACACTGCGTAAAGAGGCTGCTTTTGTTTTGCACCACTGATCACAAATCTAATAGCTACCTTTAGAACTGGAGGTTACATTTTGGTAACATTTTTACCTTACAGGTGCGGTTGTCCATTCCTTTCGTCACCTCCTCGAACTCCTCTCCGGTCTTGAATGAACACTCGTAGTTTCTTAAAGTACTGAGTGTCTGAATTGTGAAGCAATGTCCGTCCTGCTTAATCACTTTCTGAGGCTTCAACATCGAAGCAATCTTGCGCGTTGCAAAATCAACACCTGCATGTCAAAATGAGAGGGATAAGTGACAACACTTTCTACAAAATGTTTACACTCCAAAAAGAGTATAAATTTTAACCTGCCATCTATAAATTTTACGTACACCCAAGTTCAAGAACTCTAAACTAACTAAATATGAGGTTTTCTACTAATCTCATTTTCTGCATGCAGTCTTCCAATTTGCTTTAAAAAGGGTGAAACTTACCAAGTGCAACCATGTAGCCCTCAAAATTGACATTGCTGACCATGTTCCACGTCCCACTGAGGTTGGCAGGCATTTTGGATGTTAGGTGGCCTCTTTGGAAGACGCAACAGCAGAATTTCAAGAGTGGAAGGATGCGAAGTTGTTCGGTGGGCTCTTTTTATTGTGTGTCAAATGTGGGGTAAGGGTGATGCGTTGCTTATGCTCTAGTTAATTTGGGCACATACGCAGGAGGGTGGAGCAAGACTTTTGAAATAATGTGAGGAAACTAACCCTGTTCCAAATAGATTAACAGCCTTACACGACGCAAGGTTTTTTATTTTTATTTTAATATACTCAGTTTTATCCGTACTTTTACGTGGGCTTTGTGCTAAAAGAGGACTTGCGCACATGTGATAATAGCGTAAAAAGCTCGAGGTAATTATATCTGTAAGCATGCACACCTGGAGTCAGTGTTTCTTTATGAATCGTGGTTTGTGTGGAGAGGATCGGCCTCACATCCAGCCCTGTATCCGCCCAGTTTCTACCATAAATGGTCGATGCTAACCTCATGAATAGAAAGTTACCGATCACTGCTTATTTCTCTGTGCCAGTGCAGCCGCCATGCGTCAGTATAATGCAGTAAGCGATTAAACCCAGTAGCCAAGTATCAGAAGTTCAGGCCTGTGCATTCCGGGAGTGGGTGAGGGGGTAAAAGTGATGGCGAAAGGGCGCTGAAGAAATCTCTTACAATTTCAGAGTATTAGCAAGTTTTGACAAAAATAATTTATAAGCGTCTAAAATGTTAAAACCAACTTAAAAAAAAAAACTTTTCAGCATAACTTATCGGGGCAAATGTTCTGAGTTCAAGGAGTAAAAATATGCATCCAAAGTGCAGGCTTGGACAGGATGAAATACAATCCTTCCTCTGGTCAACAAGGGCGTTTGGCACTTTAATACAACACGTGCCAGGGACAGTGTTACAGTACATACGCGTCTGGATGTGCAGCATCCATGTTTCTTTACTTGCTGGTCTTCATGGCATATCACAGCAGCAGATGGATACCAAAGAATCAGAGATTAAGATTGTAAGTACTCTCATACATAAAGATTTCAGAATGACTTTTGGTTTACTATGACCTTAATCTATTTTCCGTTCACTTCCCCCTTCACAGTCAACTACTGAATGTACTGTTCATCACAATTGTTCTGGTTCCTCAGTTCTACGTGATGGGAAGGTAAGTGGGACGTAGGCAATGGCATCATGCCATACAGCCCGCAGGTTACTCGTACAAGAAGGAACATGAAGTTAACAATGGTTTCTATTTTGGTTAAAGGCCCAAATCCTCAAGATACTGCAGGCAGCCCCTTCTGAACAACCTGTCAGCCTCAGTTGCTTTGTCCTTGATGGCTTCAGGTAAGTCCCCTCAGCTCAGCAGTCCCAAAGCAGATACTCTCACAGCATTTACACAGGTTTAATAGGAACAGTGATTGTTTTGTTTTTTTCAAGGTTTTGCAGTGATATTCACACTGACAGACCCAGTTCATCAGAGCTTGTGGGCTGCCTACCATGTGTTTGGTCTACTGTCTTGTGGCCAAGGTTTGTGCACTACTATCCTGACTCTGACAGCAGCAGCATGTGTAAGAAAGAAAAAAAGAAGCAATATTAGCCAGTTCAACCCCTCAAAAAAACTCCTGCAGCATGTCAATGATTTCTATGTACGGTATGTTCACAGGCCAAAACCACCCCTGAGCTGTACTACATGTCCCTTGTCCTAACAGTGGTCTCTGCTATCAGTACAGGTGAAAGACAACTCTCCCTTTCTCTTGCACACTGGAGAATTCATTCATTCATAAAATCTTCATTTCGAAGGACTAACACCTGCTTCTGTCTGTTCAGGTTTTTTCATGGTCAGAGGAGGACTGTGGCTAACCAACAGGCACTCTGTGACAGATCCAAGCAGAAACAATGAGTTATAAAACACTCCAGCTGTCCCACAATGATATGTGACACTACACATGTAAAGAATTCATGAGGGCTCCTTGCCACCAGCAGCTTGTAATTTTAAACCAGGAGAAAGAAAAAGGGAAAGTGAGTTAATCCAGCTCACATTTTTTTAATGCACACTTCAGAAAAGCAGCTGTCGATTTTCCTTTTGCACTGAGGAAATGTATTTCATGTAACAATTTATTACTAAAAAAAACAATATTTCATACAGTAGATTTGACATGATTACAAGCAATGGTGTGAATGTAAATTCTGAACTGGATTTTTATCTTATTACTGAAGCTACAATAAAGAAATTCTAGCATGAAAACTAAAATTACATTTGTTGATTTAAAGCTAAAGTGGTCAGGAACCCTTCTAAATGTTTTAATATAAAGTAACTGTAAGAATTACTTTCATATAAAAAAAAAAAAAAAAGACAAGTGCAACTCCCAGCTTTTTAAAATTTTCTTATTATAGACTGTATTGACAGACTCCCAAACATCATTTCATATGTTACATATGCATTCAATACAAATCACTTTGTAAAATTCTCAAATATAAAGCAGGAGGAAAGATATAAAAGTATGAAGAAGAAATCAAATCACTTCAAAAATGCAGTGATGCAGAGGAAATCAGACTAAACTGCTGTGGCTTACTACAACAGAAAATCTGTGTTGCATCATATGAAATACAATAATGTATAATGTTGATTTACACTTGCCTTCAACCACAGTGTTTAACAATTTCTTTCTGGACCACCGCCCAATGAAAGACTTAGATCACTGATGCCCTTAATTAACGGTATCTGTAATTAACACAGTCATTTTTTTATGTTTCCTGCAATGTTAACACACCAGTATTCACAAGCTCTTTAATCAAAATGTTTTTAATGCTAAATATTAAATTAACGGATGCATTCATCCGTTAATTTTTACATTTAATGCTTAAAAGAAAGCAGAAAAAAAAACCCAGTAAACTTCGCAAATTATTATTTTTGATGAAGATGCCAAATTGCAGTTATTTACTTCCATTCCTGGAGAGAAGAAATTGTTTTAGTGACTGAATGTTCATTTGACTAATCAATATATTTCTGACTTCTCACAATTCAGTTTCCCAGCTCATTAAATAAATAATTGCCTATTAAATAAATACATTTTTTCTGTATTGTCTTGTTTTTAATGGCAGGTGGTCTACTAAATTTGTTAAACACCATATTCACAACACACTAATATAGCTGAAGAGATGACGGATGTGTTTAGCAAATGTTTTCTTACTTTGTTCCTAATCTTGAGGCACAAAGACAACACCACTGCTGACACTTAGTGGAATTGAGCTTTTATTTAAAGATGGTCTTCAATAAAGAAACCAAAAATATGATGTAGTGTTAATGTTGTTTTGAATCATTTTGACTCAAAGCACCTCCAGGTCACATTAATAGAAGAAAAATGTGATGTGAGTATGGGAATGTGATTATCTCTTTAGTAAAACACAAATATTTTACATCACCTGATTGTGTATGTATGTCAGTACCACTCAACAGAATAAAACATTCATCCAATAAGAGCAGATTATACAGTAAACTGGATATCTTTAAATTCACCTGAGATCTGTTGTAATTCACACATACAAACACCTTAATTCATCCGTGTGTTGTAACTGTCTTCCAGCAACACAACAATCGTCTGCGCTGTGTAGTTTGCAAAGGAAACTTCATATATTCCTCTAGATTCCCACTCACTTCACACTTAGACTTAAATGATCAAAAATCTTCATATGCATTTCACCCACACACGTAAAAAAATATTCATATGAGGTTTAAACTTTTAAGAACATGGACCAATGATTTCATTAATGACAAATTACATACACTCAGCATCCCTTCTAACTCATTTCTGGTTTATAGTACCGTGTTAAACTTACGCCATAACCTATCCTTTGGCCTGACATGCACTGTCAACAGGTGTGACAGGTATGTTTGGTAATATCCTCTGTAAACACAGATTATTGATTAGCACCAGTATAATTCCTCTATTTAACAAAATCTAATAGGCTGTAATTGTATAGCTTGCTTATTGTGCTAATGAAAGTTGATACATGCTGTTATTCTTGTTTCCCAAGCTCCAACATAACTTTTAAAAAAGTAATTATTTGCCTTCATAAACTCAAATTTTCAGAAAAATGAAACTAAAATATATAAAATATATATAAAATGTTTATTTATTCATATAATTTATCATTAAGGAAAATATGCTAGGTGGTAGGTTAATGCTTGGTATAAACTAAATGTGTACCAGTCAAGTATATTTCATTTGACCAGATTGCATTAAATGTAATTTCTTATATTGTAATTATGTAACACAAATGCTTGGAAAATAAACATGTAATCAAATTACCTAAAGTCAGCATTTTGGGCATAAATATTTTTTGAGTACACCTGTATAGACTGGGTTGTTTCTGAAATCTTATCTACTTCCTGTGGGGCTGTAAAACTAACTATTGATCAAAATTTATTAGCTCCAAGTCCAACATAAACGGCTCAGTTCCACTTGTAATGGCAGTTCAATGCACCAGCGTACAATGCAAACTATGTCCACTCGCTATGGTTGTGATGCGGATTTATTGCAGTGCAATAAACTAGGCTTAACTCTAAAGTCAGGGCTATCGTCACATTATAAAACACTTACACCTTACATTCACCTTGTGGAAAACTCCTGTTCCATTAGTCAATCCTTACTGAAGATGAGCAGTTCTTTAATTGTAAGAAACCACAAACTTCTTCGCTGCTTCACAACCACATGGACACCAACAAAGGGCTGTTTTCAACAATGTTCAACTGATTTCCTATTTTGATCAAATTTGGTCTATGCATACACTGTTATGATCTCAAAGGAGGGAAATAAATTAGAAGCCTGAAAGAGTTTAGCAGTTCTGCTTAGTACATGTGATTTGAGTTAATAACCTTTCCTATATGGTCCTATATGTGCTGGTTCATATATTCTTTCTCACCAACCAACAGTCCAATTAAAGCAGCTCCAAAGACATTTGTCTGATTGCAAGGTAGAGATTACATTCTTATCCTAAAAGTGCATCATAGTCTATGTACCAAACAAGGTTACCATTAGTAGGCTTCACACCAGTGACAGGCCATTTGTCTGGGTTGTCCTTCACGCGGCTCAGCTGGGTGATCAGCTCGTGTTTGCCTTTGCCCATCACCAAAAGGGCAACTTTGCGGGCTCGATTAATGACATTAAAAGTGAGGCTCATACGCTGGTGTGGCTTGGAGGGGCTCTCAGTGAGGGCCACCAGACTATCGCCAAGTTCATCAGCTTTGCCACCGGGGAACAAAGAGGCTGTGTGGCCATCATAGCCGACACCCAGCAGTACAAAGTGGAAGCTGGAGCTGTTAACCAATTTAATGAGTTGCTTCTCATACATTAGCGCTCCTCCATCTTCCTCCACACATAGGCGCTGGTTGAGATGTACTGGCATGGGGTGGATGTTGTAATACGGGATTCTCACATGTTGCAGTAGATGGTCATGCAAGCTGCGGAAGTTGGACTCCAGTTCTGTCGGCAGCACGCAGCGCTCGTCCACCATCCAAACATGTGTGTTCCTCCAGGGGAAGGTGAAATGGTGATTGGCCAACCTGTGAAACAGAGCAAGGGGAGTAGATCCACCGGAGAGGGCGAGATGAAAAACACCACCCTCATAAATAGCTGCCTCTGCTGCTTCCTGAATATCTGCAGCGAGCTTGTCAACAAGCTGCTCGGCCCATGCAGACACCATTTCAGAACTGCGAAATTTACCTTGCATCACTTGGAAACCATTTGTGGATGTGCCACCCAAATGATCAGTACTGATTATCACCACCTCATTGTTGTAGCTAATGTCTTTCCCTTTCAGATGGATGTCCAGCACGTCTGCATTATCAGCACCACCTGGGTAGATGCGCGGAAATGTGCTGGCTAAACTGCTGAGCAGCGGTGTCCATAAGTCCCAGGAAGCCAACAGGTTCTCTGTACTAATGAAGCTATTCTTCTGTCCAAAAAAGATGTGAGAAATAAGTTCTGCATAAGCTTCCTTCTGCTCCATTGGAGTCTGGATGTAGAAGTCTGAAATAGGCAATCCAAAAACGTTGACGTCTTTGTGCTCCGTCACTTCCTTCCACTCACTGTCTACTAGAGCTGGCTTGAACAAATTCTTACTAACAAGAATCGCTGGATATTGAAGGCTGCCATGTCCAAAGTAGAAAATTATCTGCTTGGGCTTGCAGTGAACGTTATTGTGGTTTTGAACACAAAAGATGTCATTTTTAAAAAGAATACGTGCGTATCCCACCCGCTCATCTAGCATCTTCCCTGAGATCAAAAGGATCGGCATGCCTTCATATTGTGCGTCATCAATCTGTGCGAGTACAGCTAAAAAATAGAAACACGAGTAAATATTAGCATCTAAACAGTGAAGGAGATGTAATACAGCACACATACAGCAGAATGTATGGAGACAAACTTTCAGTACTTGCCTGCAAATGTTGGAGTGTGACTGATGTGATCTTTGGTCTTATTCAGCTCCTGCTGAACTTCTGCTTTGTAAGTTTGGTACTGACCGATCACAGCTTGATTCTTTCCTAAAGGCAGCATGGAACTAAGGATCTGCAGCTTGTTTCCAAGGACTTCCTCACTTCTGCTCACGTTCTTGGGAAGCCTCATGGTCAACAGTGTCATGACCTCAGTCAGGTGGTTCTGTAGCACATCCCTGATGACCCCATACTGGTCATAGAAGGCAATGCGACCTTTTGAGGAGAAATTAACAAAGACAGGGTAAGAATACATGATTCAATCAAAAAAAAAAGTGTCTATGATTTACCCATGTCTCAAAATACCGTAGTAATTAAGAGAGTTGATAAAGCCTTTAATCACCTTTAACATCCAGAGTCTCTTTCAGTACAATCTCCACTCTCTCGATGTGGTGCTTGTTCCAGATGGGATCAAGTATTTTTTTGTTTTGTATTCTAAAAGGAAGTATCTTTGAAACCACCTTTGAAAAAAAGGAAACATAAGATGTTTGGATTTAGATTCAGATTCATTTAAGAGTCGAGGGTGGAAGGCATGCACTGTGTAGGACTTCCATACCTGTTTCCCCAAGTAGTGGTCAATTCTGTACATTTCTTCTTCCGTCAGTGAGCTGCGAAGTTGAGATGCCAGTACCTGAGCACTCCCGTAGTCATGTCCAAAAGGTTTTTCAAGCACCACCCTCAGCCAAGCCCCACTTTTTGGCCTGCAACTACTATTAATCTTCTCAGTAATATCTGCATATGCAAAAGCTGGTACAGAGAGGTAAAAGAGCCTGCCTGCCTCCGTCATTCCCTCTTCTTGAAGCTGTTGCTCAATGTGCTTGGCCAGATCCTGATAGTCCTCTAATGACTTTAGTTGGCGATACTGTGCGAGCCGCAGAAACTGGTCTTTCAACAGAGCACAGCGCTCCTGAGAAACATCCTTTGAGCAGGAGACTGCCTTCAGAATCTCAAAGAGCACTGGTGTGGCCTTTTCAGTGGGGGACTGTCCCCCGCCATAGAAAGAAAAGGTGTTTCCACTACTGACTTGGTTAACATACAGCTGGAAGAATCCCTGCCACAGGTACTTCTTCGCCAGGTCACCCGTGCCTCCCACTATGACCACCGAAACATGGCCAGGTCTCTGTGCTTCCTCACCCTCCTTACCATTTCCTCCCTGGGTGCACAACGCGATCAGGAGGAAGAACACAGTCAAAAACATTGTCCGGTCCTAATGGTCCAAACCCCTGTATGAACACAGCAATGAAAGAAGGGCATTCATCTCAGGAACACTATGCAATAGGAGATGATATTAAAGCTAGACAAAGTTTGCAGATTGTTTTCATAAGCTAATCGTTTCAGTGAATAGTTGTCTGTGTCTATGTGACAGCCCTGCAACAGTATGGTAACTGGTCAGCTGTGACACACAGTGGCAGCCACCGTGGGGAATATTTTCTTGGCACACTTTGTACCAAGCATGTTTTAAACACCCTAGCCTACCTGAATATTGTTGCTAACCATGTCCATCCTTTTAAAAGGTCATTGTACCCATCTTCTCATGGCTATTTCCAACAGGTTAATGTGCTATGTCAAAGAGCTCAACTGGTTTCTTGAACATTGACAATTAATTCACTGTATGCAAATGGACTCCACAGTGACCAGTTCTTCATCCAGCAGAGCACCTTTGGGATGTGGTAATTCACATCATTGATGTGCAGCCAACAAATCTGGAGCAATAAAACCTTTACAGCACCATAGATACGCTATGAAGAATTAAGGCAGCTCTAAAGGCAAAGGAGGATCTGACCCGGTGCTACCAAGATGTAACTAACAGCCAGTGGGTGTATTTGTGACATACAGAGTGCCGTCTGACAAGAAAAGCCCCCCAAAATGGTCAGTTTTACTAACCTGGTGCATAAACAGTTAATCAGAATATTTGAATATTGATTTTCTGTTCATCAACTTTCTGCTCTGAGCGCTTCATAAAAGAAAACTAATCACCTAAATTCCTCTGGTTACAAAGTCAAATGAAATATTAACAGAGACATTAATGCAATTACGCTCGTGATGTAATATACATGCAATGTCTGTCTTTTGTCATATCGACTGTCCAAAATATCATGTGCAAAATAATATTTAAAGCATATCACTTAATACAGTACACAACCATCAACTTGTATGCCAGAAATCTAAGAAATATGCCAGACAAACATTTTAAAAAGCAACAGTTAGCAGTGGTAAATGTATATAAATAGAGCTAAAAAAAAAAACATACTTAGCAAAATCTATCCTGAACTTTTCCGAAGTCCCTTGAGAGGCAGAGATACTGTCATGAGTGTAATGATTACCGGATACTGGTGGATAAGGGGCGTAACTTTTGCACTTTGCTCGGGGCGTTGAGCTTCCAGTACAAGAGCTGAGCTGTTCTTGGCGTTTTGGGGAAATCCAAATAACTTACTGATGATTTTTCAAGGACCTGCAAACATTTATTGAGCAAGTAACACATTTAATGGGAGCAAAGGGGATCCCATGCTCTGCTGGATGAACACAGGGTCACAAACTGTAATCAGAGGGGAACAGTCTGAGAACAGGCAAACAATCCGCATTCATTAATATCCAAAACACCGCTATCAGGCACACGAAAATCTCTTAAAGGTATCTATTGAACTTTGTTTTCTCACCGCAAAATGTGACTATGACGGAGAGTGAAAATTATTCACAGTGAACTGAACACCAGCAGAAAGAGGCTGATTTTATTACGGAGTCCAATATCTGGAATCGCTGCAGCTTGCATGTTTGCACAATGCAAAGCAAACAGCAAAGGCCATCCTTGTGAAGGCAGGCTGCTTCAGCGGCAGCTGATTTTTTTGTTTTACTTTTTTTTTAGAAGTACTGCAGTCATCAAAACTGTTGGTACTATTTCTTTGTAGTATAATGTTTATATTGTAATCCTCCCTCACAGATCAGCAGCTTTTTAATATTTTTTTTGCTTCTTTAGGGTTCTTCTGTAGCTCTGGTACATGTGACACTTTGTTCCTCGTCAGTCAAAAGCTACTTTCATTTTCTTTCCTCTTTAAATCAGCACAGACAATCTTCCTTTCCACCGGCATGCTTCAAATTGACTCATCTATCCGTGAAACTCTTTATAAATAGCAAAGGGGAAAAACAGGGAAAGACTGCATCTTCTGTTCTACCGTGCACATACGATCAAGTGACTATTCCATATCTTATATTCAAAAACCCTCCAGGCACTGGGGAAATTCTGTGGACATCAAGTGCTTTTTCCAGGTGCCAAGTTAAACCGCATTGGACAGAGTCCGCTGACGATCAGCACAATAAAAGATTTGTCTGACAACTGAACAGTATTGATGAGGACTGGAAAAAGCACTGAAGAGATATCCTGTGTTCGCTTTCTGTCATTGTGGTGAGATCTGTCACAGTCAAGCCTTAAGAAGAAACTCCAGATCAAACTGCTATTAATACTAATTCAAACGCTCACTTATGGATATTAAAATAACTATAGAACCTATTCATTCATCCTACATTACCAATAAGTAATTTCAGTTACAAAATATAATGCGAACACCAAAGGCCACCTCATGAAATCTTTGGAGCTCTCAGTATAGCAGGACTTATTGAAATGTGGTCTGACTTTCATCGAAACTGCATGTAGAGACAAAACTCTACTCACTGGCACTTTATTACGCACACCTTGCTAGCACTGAGTTGACTGTGGGGGGTATTTGGGTACAAAGAATTCATTATTGGTGTTTAGGAAACCAGCTTGAGATGATTTGAGCTTTGAGATGTGGCGAGTTATCCCACAGTCATCAGAAGATGGGTACACTGTGGTCATACAGACACGGACATGGTCAGCCTGATTTCACTGGTAGACCACCTGAGTAATAAAAGGTGTACCAAGAAACCAGTTTCTGAAATGCTCACACCAACAACAATTATGTCAACTTCAAAGTCACATAAATCACTTTTCTTCTCCCATTCTGATGCTCAGCAGGCCAGCCCCTCCTGACCGTCCCTACACGCTTAAAAGCACTGAGTGGCTGCCATATTGGATTGGCTGATTAGATATTTTGAGTTAAGGAGCAGCTAAACAAGAGCACTTAGTAAACTGCCCGGTCCATATGAGCACTTTCAGCATCAGCAATCTGCAGGGGGAGTTTTAGATCACGTCCTTCTTTTTTCCTGAGCATTTCAAACGGCGAAAAAGCAAATGCAATAACTAGTCCAGTAAACATAAATGCTGCTGACAGAGCTCAGCTGCCACCAGCTGTGTAACGTCCACAGGGATTTGATCCGAAATTCACAAGTCATCGCTACAAACTGTAAAACTGTACATAGACACAGATGCTGTATTGAAGCCGCCTGCTTTCCACACAGTCGCTCGCCTTCCTGGCGCAACAAGCAAAAAAAACACGACGTCACATGAAGGGTGGACAACATGTTTATCCCACGAGTCCACCTGCTAGCTGTCACACTTCACTTCCGCTACACACAATACACACGGCTCTGCAAGCGTCTCGGTAAAAGTACAGCCGTTTCGGCGCTACAAAAACACGCGAAGCAACTAAAGCAGAAATGTTCGCAATCGACAGCAACAGACGCACTCTTTAAAAAGTTACAACTGGAAACGACGAACCTGCCCGGTGGCGAAGACTACCGCGCGCTCTTCCTGTACCAGTCACGTGACACCCCTCAATCCAAAGGCAGGCTACTAACATGATAAATACATGTTTTCCAAGACTTTGAGCTTCCTCTGCGCAGTTCTTTTGAATGATGCCGTTTGAAAACATTACCATGTTGACCAGCGTGTTGCACGGTGTCATAAAATGCAATTGTAAGGATGGTTTGTTAATGAGTGTCCCGAAAACCTTGAGTTGAAGTCAAGGATGACTGAGATCACGCACTGGAGGCATTAAAACATCATGGCAAGTGTCAAGGACCAGACTCACGGTCAGAACCACTCTGAAACTCGATTTGTATAAACCAGCTTATATTTGGAGAGGTAAAGTAGGAATTAAACTGTTCTTTGAACTGATTGTTTAAGGGATTTCGTTTATTCCATTCCATCTTAAATCATCAAAAACGTCCACCTCTGATTTACCTGAAAATGTCATGTTTTAATTTTAACCAAATTCTTATATATATGTTTTAGTGTTTTTTCTTTAAGAATAACACACTTTAAAATCTGAGGCGGTGTTAAATAAACTACTAAACATTAAAGCCCACAAACAACATGTTATATTGTTTCAATCCAGCATGAAAGTTGAATTAAAACTGTTTTCCCCCCCATTTTTCAATACTTTCACGTTAAAAAGTAGTCTACAATTTTTTATTTATTTTGCATTATTGTAAAATATAACTAAATGCCGTTCAGAAATTGGCACTAATTATCTTTTGCAACATGAACCTTTTTTTTTTTTTTTTATTATTAGTGAGTTCTCAAATGTGGGACAGGATGGTTTTATGTCCTCCATATTTTAACTAGCCAAAAACTCACGCTATAGATTGTAATTCACTTTGATGGTAAGAATGACCAGTCTTTGATATATGAAGTAAAAAATTTTTTACTGAAATTATTGTATATCGCCAAATATAAAATGAAACAGTCCCGTTTGCCCTTTATTGCACTTATATGAATTTCATAAAGAATCCACAGTTCAGGGTCAAGAGCCCAGCGCATGAGGATGAATATCTCACCGTGTTCTATGACTTTTATCAGCTGTTCTCAGTCCCTGTCTGTTGCTCATGACTTGGTGGCAGATGCACTCTGCAGCGTTTTGCTGTAACAAGGGCGACCCCTGTTGGTGTCTGAGCGATATAGCTGTTCTACTTGTGTCCTCCCCTTCACCCTCTGAAAACTCAAAATACTTCGTCTCAGACTTAAAAAATAACGTGGTTAAATAATCTGCCTTTCATCTGCAACTATAGAAAAATAGAATTATTTAATTAAGAGATTTAACTGGATGGCATTCACTGCATTATTCAGCTGTCTCATGTCATCACGCCTACCTCGGACAAAGCAGGTGTCCTTTTGGCTGAATAATGATCTGATTGTTGTGGACCACACTGACAGTAGTCCTTTCTGGTCCTCCCTTGTATTTTGGCTGAACAGATGTGGTTGTTTCAGCAGCTTTGACTCAGCGGGGTCATGTGTGTGTGAGTTAACAGCTAGTTAACTTCTCAACCTCTCAGAATCAGATTTAAAATCTTACTTTCTAACTTAGCTGGAAGTGTTTGTATTGCATGGATTTTGACACTTCTAGGCAAAGTACTTGTTAAACAATCTCACCACAGCATCCTTAAGTAGATGTTCAGTAGGAGTTTTGGAGCGTTTCAGCACAAAATCTTCCCAAACTACTTTTCCCAAGGTTATGGAATGATTTTCAACCTCAGCTTTTAGAAGATTTTAACGTGTTATTAAGCTAGTAGTTAATAGCATAACAGGGCTTACAGAAAAAGAAAAAAAATAAATAAAAGAACCACCTAAACCTACAATTATGATTACGACAGGAGGCACACACAAACCAAATAACCTCACTACTACCTTACAAACAGCTGTAATGCCGGTGATCAAACCTCCCAAGTTGGCTGGCTACTGTGAAGTGTAAACAGTCAACAGGATGGAGCATCCTGTGTTTGTGTGTGTCACAGACTGTGTGTGTGCAGAGGGGGGAGGGGGGGGAGGGGAGTGTGTTGCAAAAGAAAAAGAGCCCATGCAGAGTGTGCTAGGCCAGCTGTCACAGCTATAACCTCGACTTGAGAGGCCACAGAACACAAGCTGGAGGGCCATCGTCTGTGTGTGTGTGTGAGTGTTAGAGTGTGTGTGTGTGTTGCCACCCCACATCCCCCAGACATTCCCCACAACCCCTGGCTTCCTTCCTCCCCTTTGTTAAGCCTGCGGGGCAGACTTTGTCAAGCTGAGCACACAAACTGATGCATATGAATGCGTGCCGTCATCTTTATTAGGCCCCCTTGCCAACACCCATTACATTTAACACGGGTCTTTACTAAAGGAGATTTCACTCTCAGTCATGCTCTCATCCCCCAACTCACTCTCAGGCATGTAGGATTAAAGCAGCCGCAGTCTGGGAGAAATCCGAATACACAACCTGTTGCATGCTAATAAGGAAACTTAATACTGAGCAATGAACAAAGGCTTATATTTTTTAAATGACTGGTTGTTCCGGCGAGTAATTTTAAAGTTGGTTAAGACTTGTTATTTGATGTTTAGCTTTAAAGGTAAATTTAATTACAGACGGTTTTATATTTCAAAGGTGAGACAAAATGTGTCAAACTGTATTACTTTCTGTTCTTGCAAAAAAAATATGCCCGTATTCTGTGTTGATTTTTCTGCAGCTGCTCTTTGAAGCAGGCAGTGCTGACTGATTGGGGCTAAGTCACAAGGAGACATAACCTATGTATGTATGAGTAATGCTCCTGTGTTTTAACCACATTCTCACATTTCTTTTCTTCATATTGCAAAACTTGTCTGAGCGTGTTCTTTCTTTTTGTTTCCAAGTGCTATGTTGCACATAACCTAGTGCACAGAGGCACCAGACACCCGCCCCAAATTCCAGTTTAGAGAGGCAGTATTTCCAGTGGTGGCATGTGGAGCTTTAAAAAGGAAATGACTGAGGACATCAGGGGGGAAAAATGCACAACCTTTTCAGATAGCAGACAGTGAAGAATAAAGACATTTCCATAGCATTTATTCACTTGTCATTTGTAAGACAGATAAATGGGTGTTTTAAAAAACACAACCCCCAAAAAACCTATTGTGAGATTATGAGGTTTTGTGGTTTTTATTTAGTTTTCGGTGACATCCTGCTCCTTGCTTGTGTGAAGAGATACATACTTTGTGCTCTTGTGCGGAGCTGAGATAACTCCTGTATTTGTCCGTACATGATTTTTGTTTTATGTTCTTTTCAAGCTGTGAAACACAACACACGCATGGTGCAATTTTTCTTCCATCAGATAAGTTAAACGATTTTAGGCTCACAGAAACCCTTTTGAAAGCAGCACGATTATCTCAAACATTTCTCTCATAAAATGGTAACTGAAACTGAAGTGATTTTCCTGTGATTCAGATTTAGTCATCTCAACAACCTCTTAAAAAAGCAGCCGTTTCACTGAAACTGTAACCCACATGTTTAAGTAAACTACTGGTTCCATTTATAGCCAGTTATTTTGACTATAATAATGCAGCAAATGAATACAAATTTTGTAAATGTATGTACCTTAATATTTCCATTTTATGTTACTTTGTATTTCTACTTCGCTGCAATTAAATTATTTGGTATTTTGTACAGTATTTACTTTACAGCAATAGTAATTAGTTACATTTCAAGTTGAGATTTAAATACTTGGATGCTAGTACAGATCAGTCCAGAGGGTGACCCATATGCTGAAAGGCTACAGCAGGGGTCTGGGTTCAGTTCCGGCCCAGGCCATTTCCTGCATGTCATTTCTCGTGTTCTCTGCCCCTCTCTTCCTGTCTGCTTTACTGTTGTGTCATAAAATGAATTAAGACCAAAAAATACAACAAACCCACAGGAAATAATAATGAAGAGTGTTTTAAATTAAACTACCCAGTGGAACAAATGCAGCTCGCAAATAAAGTAAACAAAACAGCAATTTAATCATGTAAAACTGACAATGGTCTGTAAGTTCATATTGTTGATCATTAGTATTTACAGTTATGTAAAAGAAAAAGTGATTTTTCACAGGACTCACCCAAGATTAGCTTGTAGCACCACATACTGAAGCAATCACTTTCACTTTGATTTTATCAGTCTCTCTTGTTGCAGTTTGTGAGCGTTTATTTATGCACAGCTCTCTGAAGGCTGATGTCCAGACCTTCACAGGGCCATCACAGCACCCTGATTCTTTTCCTTTTCAGACATTTAGCTGTAGATTTGCTGCTATGGTTGGGATTATTGTTATGTTGCATGATCCACTTTTGGCCAAGCTTTAGCTGACAGACAAATGGCTTCATATTTGACTCTAGAATACTTTTCTATACAGAGGAGTTCACGGTCAACTGAATGACTGCAATGTGCCCAAGTCCTGTGACTGTAAAACAAGCCCAAATCCTTATCCGTTCACTGCCGTGTTTGACGGCTGGTTTGAGGTATTTGCACTGATATGCTTTGTTGGGTTTTCTCCTACTTGGCATTGTGCATTATAGCCAGAAGTCTTGCAGTTAGTTCAGATGCAACTTTGCAAACTTTGCAGATAAGAGGCAGTGAGTTTACTGGGATGTCCACTTTTTTTGAAAGATTATGGCAGTGTGTTAACACACACCTCAGTGCTCCAGAAAACTGCCTTGACTTGAGTTAATCAAGTGCAATTTATCAGCAGCACTACCCTCTTAATTCCTATGGAAGCAGTAAGTATGTGCTTAGTTTTTCACAGGATTGCATAGAGTCCTGCTACTTTATTTAAGTAAATGATTAGAGGGCTTCCTTCACTGTTAGGTGATAGACATAAAAATGCATGCACAAACGTGTGAACTCATCATTTCGTAACAAGGGTTTTTGGGGCTCTCACTGAGAGTGTGGTGGAAAACAGTAGGTGCATTTCATGTTAGTGCTACACAAAAACACCCCAGTGCTTTCA